AGAAGAAGAAAAGGGTGGTAAATATACTAATTGCTGTTCAGATTTTATATTCTGATGTTATTTTGTCAGCAAAATAAAGCAAGGTATCAGATTAAATACCAAGTAGAATTCCACTGACTCATTTAAAACTTGAGAAAAAAAGAAATAAAAAATTATAAAGGGTCATCAGGTTTTCAGAGTAAACATTAAATTCAGTACTGAACAGAGGCCTGTCCTCATCAAGTTCATTGTTATTCACAGAAACATAGATAACTTTAGGTTCAAACAAAACTCTGAAGCTCACCGAGCCGAGCTTTCTACTGAAAGCAGAGTTAAATTCAAACTGAGATCTAATTGCTCATAGTCTTGTCCACCTGAATCTTGAATAACTGTCAATAATGATAGCTGAGGGACTGGGAGATTCCAAACTTATAAACATGAATTTCAACAGATTGAGCTAAAAATCCAATCTTTTGGCAAGCCTTATGCACTTATATATATTCATATTTTTTGTGAATTGAGGAAGGTTGAGTGCTTAGCCCATATTCACCGGTCTACTATACCATAAATCATCTTTAAAAGAGATTAGGTTAGCTCCAGCCTGTACTGTGAAATAAAAAGTCTTGTGCTGTACAACCTGGGCTTGTAATGCTGAGAGTTATGCTGATGAGGGCAACTTTAAGTGTGTCTGTACCTAACACAATATACAAAAGAAATAAAAGCCCGGCAGCATACCAGATGATTGGAGGAAATGCTCTGACTCAGAAGGAAGCTTCAGAAATAAATTAAAGGAATCAAAGGAGAGCAGAAAGTAGTTTACATTTTAAAAGTGAGGAAGACTTGATGAGGCAGCAAATATCCACTAGAGAAAATTCATTGCTCAAATATCTCAAAAAAAGCAAGACATAGAGGATAAGCTATTGCTAAGGAATGTTCCATATTCTGATCCCAACACAGGCATAACTTTGACATTAGCAGCACCTACGGAAGATACTGTATATAGAAAGTAAAAAAAAAAATTATTATTATTATTATTATTGAAAGTATTATTAAAAATAAGACTCAATAGGTCTATTCTTTTTGTGCTCCATGCATTTTGCCCCATCCTTTCCTAGAGTACTTTTTATTATTTCTTAGGTGAAAAGCACTCCTCCTTCCTCTGCAGACAAAAATACTTTTCTTCTCCCATGCCTAACATTTTTTTTTTCTGCTTGACAGAACAAATCCAAATGCCCTGAAACCAATAAACAGTAACAAAAGTTAAATTCGGGGTGCATTTTAATCTAGGTTTTCTACATTTGTTCATTCCCAAGGATTGTCATTATCCCAGATAATTTGACTCATCTGGTATATACAAGTGGCTGACAAGCATTTACTGTCACAGATGAGGCCCCCAAAAGTGTATGAGGGACCACTTAGAAGAAAAAGCCAGGGATATAAGAAACCAGGGGACGGTGTATGAATGTTGGCAGTCATTACCAGCCTGGCCTTAGTTTGAATTCAGATGCAAAGAAGTGGTGGTGGATTCAAAAGTTTAGTTTGCACAAATACATTATTTTTTTTAATACTTGTCACTACAGCTTTGTCTCAATTTCATCCACTAACTGTTTTTTTTTCAAAAAGTTCTGGGTTCTCTTCATACATTTTAATTTCGGAATAAGTGTTTTGATTTTCAGTCACTAAAATCCTATCTGGGAAACAGAAGAAATGAACAGTGGTTTCTGAAAGCAAGGAGGACAGATTTTTTTTTTTCTTTTTTGTTGTTTGCTTGTATTTTTGTAGTGAGATAAAAGTACATTTGCTATCAAAACTTCATGGAACATGCCTTCCCAGAAAGCTTCTGTTTTTCTCTGACTTTTCTGGCAGTGGGGATGTCCAGGCTGAGAGGATGATCAGAAGCAGCACTGTCCCTGTTCTGCCTGCACCTGTCCCCACAGCCCTGTCTTTGCCTCCAACAAGACAGAGGTTCCCAATGCCAGGGGCCGGGGCTGCCCAGTGCCCTCCTGGCTGCCTTCTCCTGGCTGGGGTGGTGGGTGGGCTCTGGCTGCCAGGCTCTGCTGTTCCATAACCCCAGCTGCCACAGAGCCCTAACATCCTCCTGTCAAATAATCAGGAATGAAGCTGCAGATCATTTTCCACGTGTTCAGCCTGTGTATGAACTTTATATAGTAGTGTTATAAAAATTAAATAAACACTGAATAGGTATGAGAAAATGAGAGGTCCTTAATTATTTTCAATTAATTTTAATTGCTGACATTTTAAGAAGCAATTTAGATACCTGAGTTCTTCCCTTCTCTGTCTCTGGATGACATTGTTACTTCTGCTAGTTTTTTATTGATTTGGGTCCCCTTAGAACTGTTTAATAAAGAAGAGCTTCAACAAGTGAAAAGTTTAAAATCCGTTTTGGTCAAGTGACTACATAGAGACAGGATAGCATTTGAAAGGTTAGCAGTTTATTTCAAGGAGGGAAAAGGGATATAAGGAGGCAGCTCATAAGCAGTAGACTGAAATCCAGCTCTCCAGTTTTGTGTATTTGTGTTATATATAGCCAGTGCTGCCACATACACATAATGCACTATACTAAAACAACTTTTGGAACCATTTGGACTAATAAAAAGAAAGAGGTTTTTCTGACATAAAATTGGGGTTGGTTGTTTTTTTCTTCACTTTCTTCACTTTGGCTGATTGTTAAAATAGGGCAGACATTTTAAGGTAAATCTTACCAAACATGATAGAAGAAGATCAGCAGCCCAAACTGACAATATAAGGCATGTGGAGTTTTAGATACCATAATCCATTTATAAGTATAGTCATTTTTCAGATGAATGTTTCTAAAGATGCCACTTGCAAACACTTGCAAAACTCCCTGCAGTTGTCAGCTATATTTGTCCCTCATACTTTTCTATCCTTCACTGTGTAAATGCTGACACCTTGCTCTTTTCTTAAATCCACAAGCCACTAATTACTGACAACTTGCCTTCTGCTTCTGAGGTGCCTTAGTGACTATAAGACCTATTTCAAGTTCAAAGTTAACCATCTTATGCTATGTCAGGGGTTTGCTGCTGCGGTTGTTTGCAGATAAATAATTGAAATGTTCCACCTATCTCATATGAATCAATGTCTGTCTTATTCTACCTGTGCAGCTCCACACCACTGACAGACTTCTTGGTGCCAGTGTTTCCAGCATTATAGCCTGCATAGTCATTTTTTATGCACATTAGCCATTATGATCGAAAACTTTGATAAGCTGCTTGTTTCCTGTCAAGACATACTGCCAAAAAAAAAAAATCGTTCTGTAGCCCTCATAGTCAAAAATCACTAAATGGTCAGTGATGTGTTCAGTGAAAATAAGAATGAGTCAAATTGATTTTTCTGAAGGCAGAATTTTTATATATTATGAATAAATAATTAAAAATTCCTCTAATTTAATCCTGCATTTTAACTATTAAAATATGCTTCCACCAAATGTCCATATTTATAGAAAATGGTTTCATATTGTACTTAGATAAAGGTGCAGCTGGATCTTTATCAGGTTCCAGTTTTGTATAAATATAAAAAATTGGTAATTATCACTGTTGTGCAGCAGTAATAAGCTCAGCTGGGGAATGCTGCTGCAATTGTTTCTTTGGTTACGAATTTCAGGCTTACAGGTTCTCTCTAGTTTTCATCTGCTTTTTTATTCTACCTGGAATAAAACAGCTTCAGTACATCAGACTTAAACCTGTGCCTGGTCTGTACATCTGGTTGTCAGTGGTATCTTCCGAGGCAGTGGAAATGGAATTAATTATGACTGGATCAAACAACGGAATCACTCAGAACTGAATCACGGACATGTCTAAGCAAAAGATGAAACTGAAAACAACAGCACTTGAGTCCGTCTCTGCCCTCCTCCATTGTAATTTCCTAGTTGTTAAAATTTAAAACTGGAATTATCTCTTAACCCTTTCATGCTTTCTTCCTACCTTTGTCTCTTTCTTTTTCTCCTTCCCTATTTTTTATTGAGTAATCAAAGACTGGCTGTGTTTAAACTAATGGCCAGTATGGAAGCATGTTAACTGTGCAATGACAGACAGCTGAACTGAACTAATATTCAAGAGGCTCTAACTACTTTGAAATTATCTAGACACATAGGCATCTGGTTGGTAACATTCTAGACTCTCACTTGCTAATTAAATGTGCGACATTCATGAACAGACTTCCTTTATAGCTTGTAGAGCTTTAACTACCCGACTTGGTAGAAATTTCAGTTGTTTCTTGGCTTTTTTAAGAAAATAGGAATTTAATTGAGGTATTTCATTTTACTTAGTCTCGCTTTGTATTCCTGGAATGAATATGGAGCTGTTTTTTCTACTCCTTCCAACATAAGTGGGTCAGACAGCTTGTTTTTGGAGTGCATCTTCCATGACCTGATACAATTATTCTTACTTAGAATTTACATGTGCATCTGCCTTTGGAAACAAGATGTCCCTAAAAGCATATTGGAAGAGTGTCCTTTGTTGCCCCTTTGCACTGGCCTTCCAAGTTGGCTGGTTATGCAGAGGACAACTGCATTTTAAACTGTGAAAGCCATTCTAGATGTATTTCATTCCTCATCCTTTTCTGGTTTTAAAACAAGTGAGTAAATACTAATTCTTGAATCTGTGCCTTTGATACAGTTTTAAATTTTAGCAAATTACATTGATAGAGAAATCATGTAACAGCCAAGTCAAACTAACCACTGAACTTTTACTGAATACTAAAGGATTTTCAAGGGTTCGAGGTCTATGAAGCACAAAAAGCCAGAGTAAATTGTGAGCTCTTGAAAGAATGTATTTGTTCAATTTCTGTTAAAGGAGTCATTTCTGAAACTTGTTCATAGTCTGGCTGTACTTCAACTTCTGTCAATCTTTCTTCTAAACCTCTATGGCTGTAAAGTACTATCTGTGAAACAAATTTTAGGGTCTGCATCCTGATTAGTTATTTGGGTCTCTTGCGGGGGGGATTTTGTTTATTTTGTTTATTTTGTCTTGTTTTGTTTTCAGCTCATGCAGAAAGAAAATATATGATGAAATAGAAAAAAGAAACATGACAAAAATGGAGACGGTAAGATGTAATGTCATAACAGAAAAATTGTAGAAAAACTTAGTGCAGACCCTGTAGAAAAGAATGATCTTATTAAAAATGAAACAAAGTTAAAATAAATAAATAAATGAATAAACCTAACTGCATTAGCTGACATTGACACCCATGCTCACATACTCACAGGCACCAAGAATTTTGTAGCTTAGCATCCTCTTCAGTGTGCAATGACCAAGGTTCATGTACAATAGTAGTTGGCCCCAGGATGACGCAGGTTCCAAAGAATACCAACTCATCACCTCCACAGTTTTTCTTAGGCGAGTGTCTTACTTCCCCATTTTTCATTTGTCTGTTGGACTCTTCCAAGATTAATCTCTCCATCTTGTTCAACCCCTACAGTCCTTCAGAATTTACTCAGTTTTTTTGTCTATTGCATCAAATGTTTTGAAAATCAATGCTACATGCTAGCAGCACATGCTATTCTTATAGGCTTAGTGTTCTGCTTTTTCTTCCATTGCTTCTATACACAAAAATCCTGTTAATTCTCCATTCACACCAATCTTAATTATTTTACTGCAGTTCCATAGCAATGAAAGTTGCAAAACCAATTTCCTCTCAACTAATCAAGTCAGCTAAGAGATTAGTTGCAATATGCAACCCCCAAAATGCAATAGCCTGGTTTTTGCACAGTTTGTACCCAAACTATGCCAACAAGTAAGCATTACTGCCTGGTCAGATGTGGCAGCTGAGGGATATGCATGAACTCATAATGGTCCTTGGTTCTCTGACAAGTAAACTTATCATTACCAAAGAATATAATGTCTCTGAAGTGAAATATGTTTATACAGCAATGGCTAGTTTGTTTTGAGGAAAACAAAGTATGAGGGGGGCAAAAGGCAGGAAGAACATATATGCCTATAGATGTGAAAGCACTTTCCATTCTTGACTTTCAGATGGGTAGTACAAACTAGGACATATCATCTGCCTTGTGTCCTGGAAATATAATTCCCATCTCAAGACTCAAAAAGATTTTTGAGAACCTTTCAGCATATCCTCCACTTGCTAGGTTTCTTCTAAACCAATTTTTTACTTTTGATTACAGGGCCTTTAGTTTGAACTATAGCCATTTTTAACATATTTGTAGAATGTTATCTTATCTATGTGTTAATATGCCTCTCAAGATTTTCAAGATTTCCTTGAATGACATCTGTAAGATTGATCATTTTCTTATCTAAAATGTTGATGTAGTATTAGAAATCATTCACATAAATATGTTGTCATTTCTCAAAATTACAGCAGAACATTGATATTTTATATTTGCTGCAGTTTCATCATAACTGCAGTTATTAACACATATGAGTAAGACTGTGTGAGAGAGAAGGAGAACATAAATGATGGATGATTACTCTCCATTATACTGCTGAAAAGCAGCCAGTTACATCCTTATTTTTTGTAGACCTCTACTTTCAATCTGTAAACAAAAAAACCTAAGTATGAATGAGAAACACACAGCTGATCACATCTTGTAAAATATTTGTGGGATCATATGCAATAACAAGCACGCAAACCCTGTTGAAATTGCAAACCTGCAGTCCATCACCATAAACCTCGTTTTGAGTATGTGACAATTGATTAGAGAGCAACAAGATGTACTCAACGACCATAAAAGATTAACAGATTTTTTAATTAGATATTGTATAATCATTCCATGCTTTGTTAGATACTTTTTTCTCCTAGTACTCTAAACAAAGTACTGAGAGGTACATTACAGCACCCCAAAATAATACAGAAGGAGTTTAGTTTTTTAAATATGTGTATAGGTTTTAAATAGGACTTCTGAAGAGATGAGTAAGTAGCATTTTATACAGGTATTCCACAAAAATGTAATTTTAAATAGATTTGAAAGCATTGGTAATCCATTGGAAAATTGTATACAATTTAAATATTTTAACACCTGTCTGAATTCATAATTAAAAGATGCTTAATACTATTGCAAACAGTAGGAAAAAAAGGTGAGTACTCATGAAAATGCATGTGTTACTTCTTATTCTGTATTTTCTCACTTAAATGTTGATCATAAAGAGTCCTCTTCCCTGTCTTTCTTGGTCTGATTCCACTGCCTTAGGTATTCACTATCATGTGTGCAAAGAAGTATGGGTATGATCAGAATAGTAGCATTTTACATGCAAACTGAAATACTGTAAAAAATTACAGAAGCTTCAGGCAGCAAAAAATTTGGATTCCCTGCTTATGTTGGATTGTGCCCTGCTGGCTACTATCCAGTTTTGCAAAGGTAAAAGATTCACAGAAGATTTATAGACAGGTGTTCTGTCAGGCAGTGAAACTTTAAACTCTCTTGCTCCTCTTGGTTTCTTACCAACTTATTTTTGTTCTTGTTTTTACTACCATACAGAAACACAGATCACCCTTCAGAAAGCATATATAGAGTTTGTCAGAAGACTGAAGTTATTTTCCTGGCAAACCTTTGCTAGTAATAATTAAAAAAGTCTGTGTCAAGAAAAAAATCACCTAAAATAACCAGCTGCTGGTATTAGAAAAGTAATGGTTCTGAATGTCTTTGTGCACTACTCATCCCTTGAAAGTTACACCTGCTTTGGGGAATTACTGTTCAGAAAGGCACATTGTGTTACCTCGGAAACAGCTGCGACTGCATGTGTATATTTAGATAGAAGGTATTTCACTTCCTTCACATTTCTGTCTGATATGCCATTTACTTTTTATTTAAGCTGTTAATGCAGTCAGTCCTTTGCTATCACATCTGCTTTCTTTTAGTCTTAAATCTACTCAGCTGTAAAAGTTGGTCTTGAAAGTATGTACCTCTGCTGATGCTGCCACATTTCTGTTTTTTCCAAAATTTTTACAGAAAAAAGAGTAAAAGAATGATATTAACACATATAGGACCAGAAAGATAAATTCTATGCATCATCTTTAGAGGATTCAATATTTCATTAAGACAGGTCATCTAATAAAATCACACAACGTGACTTCATTTCCTTTCATTTCACTTCACAATTGAGAACAAGGGTACTTGTCTGTAAGACAGATGCTTAGCAGGAATGAAGTATAGCTAGGTACAAAGGAGACTAGATTTTGGAATCTTATTTTCGTTACTGGAATTGAATTGTTGCGTGGCTTTGGGTAAGTCACTGAAATTGTCTGCGCCCTGATTTTTAGCTTCCTGTGTCAACAGGGTTTTAATAGTTGGCTAAATGCTACCAAGCTTCAAAAATACTTTGAATTCTTCACACAAAGCACATTATATCTGAAATATTTTCACAATCATTATTATTTTTATTCTACACTGACCTTTCCCTAATTAGGGGAAACAAATGCATTACTGATTTAAATGCAGCATGATTCTGCTGTGAATGAATCTAATATTTTAAGTCATTCTACTTTCTGTATATGAATGATATTTACTTCAAAAATATGTATTTCATAAAGCTGGTATGTAAAAATTAATGCTTTAAAGCAGATAACAAAAGAATTGAGACAATACATCCAGCAATTTCCTGCTACTGTCTTGTCATGATAGAAAATAAAAAGTAGTGAAGAAGAAAAATATTTAAAAAAAATTAATATCATCATACAAGTCTGTTTCCAAACTGGTCTTCATTTATTTTTGCATATAAATATTGAAAAACTCTTGACTGAAATTCCATTTATTTTTTTAGTATTAAACATATGATTTTCTCCTTCCTTAATCTCAATTTACTTTTTTATTTTCCTCTAACAAAACCTCTTTTTCTTTTTTCCTCATTTCTGTGTTAGAGTCCTGTAAAGAAAAATACTGCACATGTCTTCTAGATTTCTCACTCTTTTCTGTTCAGTGATATATATAGAGTAACATCAGTCATGATAACTTAGTGATGAATACTCCTGTGTGCAAATATCATGAGGCTTTTCCTGCTTGTCTGAGCTGTCTTTTCCCAATTAACTCCTGGGAAAGTAATCTTGAGTGACCTACAGTAGAGGCGTGATAACAGGTTGTTTCAGATATTCAGCCAGAAATTAGAGAAGCTGGAAAAGGTAAGTTTCAGTAAAGGGGAAAAAAAAAACCAAAAAACCATCAGAGCAGCTTAACTAAAACCAGTGATTTTAGAGATATATACATTTACAGTGTTTAAGGCACTCTAACTTCTAGAATTTTGTTCCTTGCAATGTCAAAATTGTAAATTTCAGAATGTTGCTTTAAGACCCTTACAAACAAGGGTTACACAAAATGGGGTATTACTTCTGTAATTGTGTAGGGGAAAAAAAGTCAATAGCATACCTTAAATGCATAAATAAATGCAAATAAGCAAGAAAAGAGAGCTTGCAGCGGGGAAAAAAGCAATAGAGGTCAGTGCTCACCAGTTGTAGATTGAATGCCATATTCTTTGACAGGCGCTGGGAAACCCAAACTTAAAAGTCCTAATAGTGTGATCTTTCAACCAACTGAAGATTTCAGTATTTCAACATCAGATCAAATTCTACAAAAATGCATAGAAATAAAACTTAGAAAATCAAGGACATTGACACTGTCCTAGATTACAGGAAGAATATGAGAATTTGTCAGATGAAACTATCTAGGTAAGGAGACTGAAAACAAATTGAAGCAAATTTCCAGTGTTTTCTGACAGTTGGCCCTTGATTACTTCTTGACTATTCCTCTAATGACATATGATGATCACTTCATTGTCTAAGTATGAAATACCATGTAGATACTTTAAAAATTATCAGTATTGCTAGACCTATTTTTGAACCTGTACTGTAGTAAGTGATCAATCTCCAAATGCTTTTTGGGAAGAAGAATGAAAGATGGAACACCAAAACTAAAGCAAATTTATTTGTCTAGGATGCAGTCTTGGTGACATATAAATTGAGAATAGTACCAAAAAGCAGAGTTGGCATTTTTGGTCAATGAAGCCCTTGTGTTTATCTCAACAACCTTTAAAAATTTAAATTAGTTGAGTATATATAAACTTGCATCATGAGAATTAGGATTTTTACGTAATCCTTTTTTTCCCTAATATTTTCAACTTCATTGTTAGAGCCAAAGTCATTAGAAACACTATGCCAGGACGTTACTTAGAAATACCTTTCTGAATGTGATGACATTATTCATGACCACCTCATCTCCCTCTGGTCATGCATAGGCATTATCTTCTAAGGCAGATCATTCTTATCCTTCTTATATCTTCACACTTATAAAGAAGGTAATCTTCACTCCACATGTGTTTTACTATCTCTTCTAACATGAATTGGTAGGGATTTTTCAATTTTCACAGTCATCCTTATCGTCTTTTTCTGAATCAAATTTAGGTAAATTTTATGTTTATCAGCTGAGTCATATTGTTTACAATATTTTGCATAAGATCATGACAATATGTTCCAAAATGGGAGTAATATTTTCCTATCTGTAATGAGAATTCCTTGTTTGATGGGATCCAGGATATTATTATTATTTTCACAACCATGTCACAGTCATCCTGTTACTCATCAATGTTTTCAAGTTTTCTTTTCCTTTCTTGCATACAATGAATGTAGTTTACATTTATAGGCTCAAATTCTCATTATTCATAAAACATTTATCTTCAGCATTTGTATTATTTAATTTAATTTCCATTATATTGGGAGCTTTAGCTCCCAAGTTCATCCAGCTCCTCCCCTCATTGATCAGATTTGGATAACACTTTCTCCTTTCTAACACTTCCATGTTCCAGAGTGCCCACTTAGTTCCTGCATTAAGATTTGTAATGAAAATGTTAAACATATCTACCACAGGAAGAATGACTGAGGGAAATTTCTTCCCAGTCTGATTTTTCAACTCAGCTTTTGCTGTTTCCTGTTACCTGGCTATTCATAATTTCTAATGAATATAAGTCCATTCCTCTATAGGGAACTACATGAAGTAACTCTAGACAGATTGGGATGACTTGTCTGTAATGATCTAATAAATCACCTGTCAGAAAATCTATGTATATGTGTATTTCAAAAAAAAATATGTATGGAATGTATCTACTGGGCTAGGTCATAACTTTATAACTTACTCAAGGGTGCACAGAGTTACATGAATTTGGCAATTTTTTTCTTGAAAATAAGTGCTAGGCTATTATGCAGCCTTTTATGTGCATATTTCTGATGTGTTTACAGTGCTGTGTTTTCATTCTCTTCATTCAGACACCATTCCATCATTCATTCATAGTACTGGATGCATAGTACATACATAGTACATACATAGATACATAGTACATAGTCAATTTCAAATTAGGATTCTTTAAAGGACTATATTCTTCAAGACAGGCACTAAGGGACTATTCTAGTTTGGTTGTTTTTTTTTTTTTAGAATTTGAAATCTAAGTTTTTATTTCCTTTCAGATATCCTTACTTTTGCCACATAATTCTTTTTTGTTGTCATTTCTTTGGTGTGTGGTTATTTAATTATAATTGGTTACTATTATTTTTCTGTATGGCAGTTACATGGAAAAAAGACAGTCTGAGGCAAAATTATTCCTTTGGCAATTAGAATAGATTAACATTGATCTTTTCTCCTTTCTGATCATGCATTAGTATCAGTTTTCTTCTGTTTCCTTTTCCTGCTAACCCTTTTCTATTTTTATCTTTGTCACTGACGGATGGCATTTTCTTTAAAAGACTCAACTACATTTTGACTATTTTCATTTTTTTTTCTGTAATTCCTTACAATTTTGTCATAGGAAGATTTCTTGGAGAGTCTTTTTCCATAGTTTGTCATTGTTTTCCTAATAATTATTTGGAGATATGTTATGGTTTTTTTGTGTTGGTTTTCTGTTTATTCAGAAAGGCTTGCACTTCTTCCATTTGAGTGCCCCCTGCTTTGAATGAAAGATCATGCCCAAATTTGCCCTTTTTATAGAAGATAATTCTTTGCTTATTCCATTCCAATACTTCTATTCATCATTCAAGCCAATCAACATCATCAAAAAGTCAGAGGCTAATTTTTGTCTTACATTTCAATATATCAGATTACTTTCTGTGCTAACTCTATTATAAGTGTTTTCTGACCTGAAAGAATTTATTTCCCTGCTTAATTTCAGCATTTGGTAGCGATATCTGCCTCTCCATGTGCAAGAATATTTTGTTGCTAAAGTTATTATGATATCTATTTTTAAATATATGCCTAGAAAATTTTAGTGTTTCAGACATGTTTTACTTGTTACTTCCAGAAATTTACTGAGCTTATTGCATAGTGAGCTGTAATTTCTTATAGGTGAAAGGGAAAAAAAAAACAAAGCAAGGAAAAAGGGATATCAAAACCTGGATTTAAAGTCTATCTAAACACATAACTCATTTAATGATTACTTTTGACATGATTTGAACATAGCTGATAGATGTTTTGAAAGTTGAGCATGGTAGGATTTCAAGAAGTTTTTATGACTGACCTTAACTTGAATTATCTTTGCTTAGTCAACAATCTTGCATCCAATGCTAAAAGAAAAATGCTGAATTAACAGTTCATTAACATCTAAAGCTTTCTTGTTCTTGCTGTGTGATGGCTAATACAGCTGGTGTGACTTAAAAAAATGGCCTGAAGGAAACCTTTGGTAATCACATGGACAGAGAAAGGATATTTTACTCAGTGTGTTGTTTTAGTTCTTTTTGTCTTTATTGAGATTGCTGAAAAAGTTGTTAATTGTCAGCAGTTATGTGAGGACTTACACTCTATGACCTAGTTTCAAAACAAAATTTGACATAGGCTCCCTGATTGTCACCTGAGTGTAATGTAATGTCTTTCAAATATTACTGACTAGCAACTATTTCTAGTCAAAATTCAGTTCATATAGATATGAATATGAACTAATACCTATAGAATTCCTTCCTAATTCATTTTTGACTTCCTGAGGCATGGAGTCCACTGTCTTACTCCATCCTTACACTGTACAGTGTCACAGCTTCTTGAAAAGCTTTTCTTTTAGAATTCATAAAATATTAAGAGATATATATTCATATATATGTATATTCATAGAATATGCATGCAGAGAAAGAAATCATAAGGCACTACATACATTTTATGTCTTTTGCCTGCGTTTTATAAAACGAGGAAAATTCTAACATGTAAATAGTGGTAGAAAAATTTGTTGAAGTTGGATCTAGAAGGAAGCATTACCAGAAGCACTGATTACAAAACCCATCCCTGAAATCAAATTTTGCAACTCAAATAGTGAGAGTGCCTCATATATCTTATCCTTTTAGAGACTGAGAAGTTATATAACAAAACAGATTTATTAAAGGAGAAAAGAAGTGAAGGGGAATAAGGAGATGAGAAATAACAGAAAAAAAAGTGAAGGAATATGGTTTTAACAGAAAAATAATGTGAAGAGTCATTAAAATAATGTGAAAAGTCATTTGTTTTCAAGATCCAAACATGGTTAACTTCCATAAAACTATCACTGCTAATTGACCTTTAAATTGTGTACTAATATTATATTTTATGTATATTTTAGAAGTAGGAGAAGGCTAAAATTATTTTCTTGCAGACTATAATTTATATATTTATTCTTTCATGATCAGTTACATTTCCTGAAGTTGTTTAAGTTTAATAATTCATAGTTAACAGCTCTCTGATGAATACACTCAGTTGTAAACAAGATGTGCTGTTTTTAAGCTGGTTAAAGTTGCATCCTTTTGACCTATCATCATGTCATCTTGTACACACTCAGTCTTCTGCCTGTTACATGTAAATAACACTTCTCTATGTCCTTGGACAATATGCATAAAACCCATTATATTTCCTCTCTGTCGTGAAATGAAAAAGTCAGTAGGATCGCACTTAGAGAAAAAAAAAACCAAAACATTTAAAAATAAAAATAAGAAGTTGTTTCAGGAGCTATTACATTTTTATCCTAAGCCCAGACAGTTTGCTAATCATCTAAAGACAAGATACTCTGATTCGTGCTTCTGTCAAAAAATTAGATTTTATAAAAGACTAAACAGTAAAAAAAAAAGAGCCTTATTGATGGATGGTCCTTCATCCAGCACATGGAGTGCATTGATTTAATGCTATCTAGATGCTGGTGCCCACCAAAGCTGCTCTACTACTCACCTCCAAAACTGGACAGAGAAAACATAGGAAAAGGTTCACGAGTTAAGGACTGGGATTCACTCACTGGTTACAATCATGGGCAAAGCAGAATCAGCTTGGGGATATTAATGGAATTTATTGCCTACAAAATCAGAGCAGGATGATGACAAGTAAAACAAATTTTAAAAACACCTTTCCCCCACTCCTCCCTCCTTCGCAGCTCTATTTCCTCCCACCCAGTGGTGCAAGAAAACAGGTTATGGAGGATATGGTCAGTTCATCACATGTTATTTCCACCACTGCTTGGGGGGAAGAATCTTTCTCCATAAACTTCTTTGGTGTAAATTCTTCTCACAGGCTACAGTTCTTTTTGAACTGATCAAGAGTGGGTCCCTTTCCACAGCGTGCAGTCCTTCAGGCACACCCTTCTCCAACATGGATTCCTGACAGGTCACAAGTCCTGCAAGAAAATCTCCTATTCCATGGACTGCAGAGAGACAGCTGCTTCACTATGGTCTTCACCACAGGCTGCAGGAGAATCTCAGCTTCAGCACCTGGAGCAGCTCCTCTCCCTCCTTCTTCAATGATCTTTGGTGTCTACACAGTTGATCCTCTCACATACTTTCACCCTGCTCCTCTCTGGCCATAACTACATCTGCACAATAACTACTTTTTCTCTCTAAATATGTTATTGCAGAGGAGACATCATGATTTCTGATTGGCATGACCTTATCCAGTGGCACATTCATCTTGGAGGCAGTTGGCATTGACTTTGCTGGACTTGGAGGAAGCTTCCCTCAGAAGCAACCCCTGTAGGTCCCCTGCTACTAAAACTTGGCTAAGCAAACCCAATTTTTCTAATTTGAAAAAATTAAAAATTTTTAAATACTTCCATTTTAAATGCTGAAGATTCCCAAGAATAATTAAGGAGACTTTCTAAAGAATTTAGCTTATAGGGTTTTAGTTTGAATTGTGCTGATGAAGATTAACATGGTGCTTTGGTTATTTGCAGATAAAAGACTGGTAAGATCACTTTAAATACAATAAGAAAACATTACAAGATTAAGCTTATATATGACCCTTTTTTCTCCTATAATTAAATTTCCCAAGGTAGAAACTTTTGTCACATTCCGCTGTCTAAAGGATGTTGTCCTCAGATGTCTGGTCTCTGGGGAATTTGGAAGATGAGGGTTAAGTTCTGATCATGGCCCTTAAGAGGTCTTTATCTGCCCTACTGTCATTGGTCATGTGACGAAATAGCTCTGAAATTCTGAGGCTGAATTTGTTGAAAACCATATTGTTCTCTAGGTCAGTTCACTGCTGCTCTAGAACAAAATACAGCACCAAATAGTTGCCACTGTATTGGACAAAACCTGAGCTACCGAAGGCAAATAAAACAACTACAGTAGTTATAAAAAATTCTCTTTGAGAACTTTGAACTCATGTCTTATGCTTCTCTGGGTATTGTTTTTATTTTATTTTTTTATCTTAAACATGGTGAAAGCAAACAGTAGAACACATGTTCTGTGAGGTCCCATTAAGTTCAGAAAATGATTTTGCTGTCAGAATATTGGCATCCTTTTTAATTGACTCAGAAAAAACATAAGCAGTCCAGATTTATTGGCCTGAATCTTGATTAATTATTTCACACATTATTTTTCAACAGCATGGTCATCTTTAAAACTAATAATTTGTTAATTTCTTCTGTATCAACTGGTTTATATAATTACCATTCACCAAAAAATTCCAAAAATAAAGTGATAGACCAAAACCTGTTTTTCTACTGATGTTGATAAGAGCTTACCTGAACTGCCTCTACTTTGGTTTTCTAACAGAAATGATTTTGCTTTTGTAACCTGATGATTCCTTATGCATATGGCAGATTAATCTTAGAGATATTGTTTGGTGAGATAGTCTGTTCAAGGCCATTAGCTTTTCTCACATATTTCTTTGCCAAAAAACTTGCTAGTGAGGGAACATTTAATTTCTGATTTCCAAAAAGAGAACTGATTTTCAAATTTACAAAGCCATTGGGTTTTCTTATGATTAAATGGCAAGCAAGATGAATTATTATTCCTCCTCGGATGGCGCTTCCATTTCAATAAAGTTTTTATTTTTTAGTCTCATATTAGTTAAACCATAAGGTTTTAAAGATAGATGTTTTACTTTAAGATTGGGTATTAACAAGCTTCAGCTGTTGAAATAAGTTCACTGAGGAGAAAATACATTCCTAAAACCTTTCTGGTTACTTGCAAATATGTCTTCTTTCATATTAAAACATCAATCAAGTATTTGTCTTTACCTCCTTGAATACTCAACAGAAGGCTATGTAGCTTCCTTTTACTTCAATACAAAGTATGCTACTCCTCCAAAATATTTGTATGCCACTGTTTCATTGTGGATTTCAGAGAACGCTTTTTTCAATGACAGAATGACTAAGCAAATTAAAATGTCTCTTTCTTTGAGACTCTATGAATCATAAAATATATGAAATTAAAGTATTGGAAGCCATTTTGTGCACTTTTTTTTTTCCTTACAGCATTCCATCCTACTGGTATGACTATTACATTTAATTTGTATCACATATTAATGCCAAATAATTTTCAGGACTGATTGCTGCTTTCTGAAGCTTCCTTGCCATCCTATATACAGCATTGAAATTACATTGTTGCTAACTTTGGCTAGGGAATAGTTTATTCCAGATTTATGCCAGGAATTAAATAAACTAACAAAAAACAAACAAACAGGTACATGAATGTTGCCATATTATATTCATTCTGCAAAATATTGAAAATGCTGTTCCTCTTCAGGTCTTTTTGTCAAGAGGTGACAAAGATAGATCAACCAGTGCCACAGATCAGATCACTGAGAAAGCTGGGCAGATAACTAATATCTGGTAATAATCTGATACTCTGATTCCAAGACTAACAATGTCTCTTTGACAGCGTCATTGTTATTAGTACTAAGTAGTATCAGTATTGCTGTTCTGTTTTTATGGCTTAATCAACATCATCTGGGATCAGTGGTATGAACCACCATACACGGGGAATTCAAAAAGTTACAACTCTCCTCTAGGAAATACCAACTAGAGAAAGAGATGAGCAGTGGAAGGATGCAGAGTGAGACAACAAGATATTGTCATTCACTGTAGGGAAAAGGCTGAGGCAAAAATTACAGAAAACTGGGAAGTTATAACATTACAGAAAGAATAGGGGGGAAATACAGTTGCTGTTCTTTGGACAGAATGTGTTCAATGTGCCCAACTTCCCACACACAATATATGAGAAGGGTGAGATGAAACTGGCAGTGGAGCAGAGTAGAGAAATGTTGACCAAGCTCAGCTGAAATCCTTGCGGAAGAGGGAACTCAGTGATACTTTAGCTGACAAGCCACACATTCGCTGCTGACCAAGGGAGAGAGAAAGAGATGTCTTATTCTTGAACCAGAAACCAGGGTCAAATCTCTCTCATCATATATAATACTGATGCTCATCTCCATTCCAAGGTTACCTCAGATGTAATACTGATCCTCACCTCCATCCCAAACCTACCTTTCTCCAGGGTATGAGCACCCCTCTCTGAGCATGATGCATGCCTAGAGTCACTAAAGTTTCACCTAGACACCAAGAATATGGTAAAAGTTAACAACTGAGATAAGTTAGGGAAGACTCTGCAACTGCCAGGATCAGCTGACAAGCTGAACTTGTCTTCTCCCTCATGGAGATGGCTATTGGGTAAGAATGATACTCCATGCACACTGAATAATTATCTCTAGCTAACTGACTTTTTCAGGGATTAGAGCTTATCCATATATTGCTTTGAATAAGTTTTTACAGTCAAATACTATTACCAGCAACCTTTGGACCTTAACCTGTCAGAATTTTCTCTTATATTAATAATATTGTTCTGTAAATTGTTCGTATGAGTCCTTGAAAGATGCTGGCAGTCCGTGGCAGTGGGTAAAACTCTCAACTGCATAGACCTGGGAAGGGGTCTCTCTTATGCTGTTGGTGTGTGTCCTTGAACAAGTTACTTGAACTGCCCTCCATTTCAGTGGACTGCTCAGTGGAGAGACCCCATAATGGGATACTGACAAAATGGTTGGGCGCAAGGATCTTGGCTCTCCTGAGGTCCACTCCCAACACATAAATCAAGCACAAAGGGTTTGAGGAAATCTTCTCTTTCATGTGACATTCAGCATGACTTCCCCATACCATCAGTCTTATCTATGTTGTAGGTGAGGCCAGACTTCCAGACTGCCAGTCAGCCACAACCTTGGTCTGTTTTTGCTTTACCTCTTCATGAATGCAAAATTAACCAGAAGGCAATATAAATATTTTCAGCTTCTGTAGCTGTGCTTTTTGTAGTACACAAAGCCCAAACTAAAGTAAGACAGCTCTTAATACAGATGACGCTAATTGGCTAATTTAGACTGATTAGAATGATTGTCATTGATGGATGCCTCATGGGTTTCTATCTTGCTTTTAGTTGTAATCAATTGGATTTTCATCCGTATTCACTACAGGTGTTAAATTTGAAGACCTTACCCTTTCTGACTTCCCTGCATATATCTACCTCTTCCCAGAAAGACAAGGAGTATAGATTATTAGATACCTCTGTTTATTTCCAAGGAACAGCAGCTTCTGAATATTTAAATAACTCCACATTTTGTAGTAGCTATTTGAATTAAAATCCCTTCATGGGGGTGCTTTGTGCATGAGGCTAGCTGGTCTATATTAATCTCTGAGTCCCAATAAAATATACTGACCTGTGCTAAGCCACTGTAAAAAATAAAAATATGTCATACATAATATATTAACCTATTTTTCATGATCAGCTGCTACTAAATATAATTTTGAAAATAATGTTGTATTTTGTTATCGCATACTAACCCATTGAAAGATAAATCAAGTCACAAACTACTAGAAATGGATTGGGAAAGAACATAAACAAATATCCAGACAGAATCAATAGCTGCATCAACAGGCTGTATGTCCTATGAGAGCTTCATTCATGTTTTCCTCACTCCTAGAACAGGAAAACATAATGTCTTGACCAATTGAAAAATTTTTATTAATCTTTCCACTTATTTGTTTAATCTCTCCTGTTATTAACACTTTTTAAAATATTTGATTAAGATGAGGCCAGGCAAGGCCACGCACTGCAGACTGCTGGAAAACAGTGTTCCACAGGATGGAAATATTATTACCTAAAAGGAAATGATATTCCAGTAGTAACTGGTAAAACATTATTTTTCGCATCATTAGATCATCAATGAAACATTACAAACACCAGAAAAAGCTTGATACTTTTAACCTGTCACTTTTTTGCTACAGCCCTTTTCTATGATTTAACAAAATCTGAATTATCAGCAAAAAAAAAAAATATTTCCAAATAAGATTATGGCTAATTTGGATTGTACCTGCAGTCACTGAAGTCAGTAAGGCTACAGATGGTCCCACAGTCTGAGGAAAATATAATAACTTAATTTTGACAACCTGAAAACTCTCTGTGTTATTTATTTTAACAAGAAACTGTTGTTTGTGTTATCCTTTGGTTTGGTTTTGTTCTGCAGGCAGTATTTTACTATTGGTACTCCATCAAATGTAAACCTTTCCTAACACTGTCTGTATTTAGCATGTGCACAGAAATTATCTTTATGAGCAAAGGTACAGTATTCAATGCAACAAGGTTATGTGTACTATGCTGATAGTAAGTAGCTTTTGCCATTAAAAACATCTTATTAAGCTATTTGCATCACCATTCTGAGAATGTCTTCTAAACAGGAAAGTCAGTAGAAAAGATTGTGCAAAAAGAAAAGGTATCCAACTCAAAGCAACAATCTTCCATCATGATGATCTAAGTGATAATTTATCTGTCTCCCTTAACAATGGACAAATCTTGACACTTCTTGAAAGCCACAGGGAGATCTGCCAAATACTTCAACACAATCAAGAATTTGCCTAGCATTTTGTAGGTGAGTCAGTAAACACTTTCTCCATAAAATTTCAATGGTGGGATGACAATAATAAAGGATGTTCTGATCATTAAGGAAATAGAATAACATTAAAATTCAGACTGAATATTCTTGTCAAACTCAAATGGTCTAATGTGGCTTGAATATCTGGCTCAATATCACACTATCTTAATTTATTAGTAGTTAGTCTCAAAGAGAGAAAAAGCTGTCAGTGTATGAGGAATTCTCAGGCACAGCAATAATTAAAACACTGCATTAAATGTCAGTGCACATAAGGGCATTTTGTACTTGGGCTGTTTTACTTTTCATTTTTTCCTTCTTTTTCTGTGCATCAAGATCATGATATAAATAATTATGATGAAACTGAGTTATAGGTAACAAACCTTTACAATTCTAAAATATTACTTATTTAAATGTGCAAAAGTTGCAGATAGTAGTGCCAGAATATTTTAAGGTTTTAAGATTAGATCCATGTCACTATTTGAATGGTGTTAATGGCTGCTTAACTGTAGAATTTGTGAGTTCATATTTCAAGAAAATGACAGATTAGTTTCACTGCAGTCTGTTGATCCTCTGTTTATCTTTTTCTTCATAGCTTCTTGGCATCAAAGAGAGGGTACACCTCAGGACTTTCTTTTTGCTATTAACAGTACAGAAAAAGGTGGGTTTGGAGTCAAAATAGAAGAAAAGTCAGGATATACATGGGTGGTACGGTTTGGACCAAAGAAAAACAAACCCAAAGAATTCAATGAAAAAGGTCAGCTCATTCAAACATAAGCATTTCAGAAAGAATACCAATTTTAACGTTTAAAAAAACATAATCAGACAAACCTCATCCCCCCAAGACCCCCAAACCACAACAATTTGACAGGTATCAGGTAGATAAGTCAAGACATAATCAGAAAAGAATATGTGAATAGAATGACACGGTAAATATCTTTTAGCTTTTGAGAGGAAGAGACAAGATCTAATTACCTACTGTGTTCAACTTGGACTCAACATGGTTTTGCTTCGGTGGACACTGAAATTCTGACTTTGACTGAGATATTGGTGAACAGAAGAAGAAAGTAAAATCCTTTATTTTTTCCCTGAGTATTGTTTCAGCATCTATCACAGCAGGTTTATGACCTTAGTTAGTCATACAAATATTAAACTTCATTTAACCTTACATCATTTCTAGGAATAAAAATTTCAATCAGATATTATCTCAAAAAAATTGATAGAAATCACAGTCCATGCGACACTTCAAACAGTTTTTAAACTACTTTGGGTGAAAATATGACACAAATTTGCTGTTGTTGTTGGGGGGCAATATTAAAAGTTTTGCCTGAGTCTAAATTATACTTTTCTTTTTTAGTCATTGATGAGGATAAGCAAAGTTTTTGAGAGTAGGAATGCCTTTTTCCAGATACTCTCTGATTAAAGAAAGGTATTTTTAAAGGAATGGTTTGGGAGTGGAATGTTTAAACATACACACAATTTTAGAAAATATGTGTTCACATATGAAAAGAGTTTGCAACACTCCACTGTGGCTTCAAATGAGATTTTCTTCTGATTTCCAGGAAATCCTTATGCTGATTTCTTCTTTCGTTGTGTTTGATCAGATATATAAGGCTTTACATAAAGATTCCATTTCAATCTTGTGCCATATAGTGATGAGGCAAATCAAGCAATTGTATGGTTTAAGGTTTTGCAGATTTTATGTACCATAGGGAAATATTTTTTCTTTCTTTTGTGAGAAAAGGTATATTATAGTAACAAAGTAGAGACTATGCTATGTAGACTTTTTTTAATTCCCTTCATGTAGAAAATAGATTATATTGTATAGTGAGATTCCCCTAGTTCAAAGAACAAAAGTTAAGGAAGAAAACTATTAAAAATAATCAGTGAACAATAAAAGATATTTTTAGCTGCATTAAAAATGAACTGAAGAATAACTATTGGAATAGAAGGAATCATTCTGGGGTGAAAATATATCTTAGGATGTATTTGAAAAACTTAGAAGTAGATCTGTCAAACTTAAGGATGGCATAGTTAAGAAAGTAATTTTTAGAGCTTGGTGTCTTGTAGAATTTCCTGTTTCTGTCAAATAAATAGACATTTCTATCTTTAGCAATGTAGTTTTAGAGGTACAGACCAGTGAAAATATACTTGACCCCTTCTATTGCTAATGAAGTGAAGACAGTGATGCCTCAAAGCAGTATTACCCTATATAGATTCTAAAGTAGACCAAAAAAATCTATATTTAAAAAATTAAAATCAGTCACATGATGGACTGCAACCAAGAATTTAATACTATATTTTATATATGTAGCTGTGTTCACTTTTCAACTCTTTAAGGATCTTAAAAGCCAGTGTAAGTGTATGCTTTATTTATATTTATTTCTTTTCCAGAATGACAAAGTATGACCTTTCTTTATATCATACAAGAGTATTTTTCCATTAAAATATGATGATGAAATTTTATATTTTATCACATGCTTTCATCCAAAATCTCTAAAAGAAAAGAATTATAGGAAAGGGTTTTTTTATTAATTATTGCTAACACCTGAATTGTAAACAGGAAAAAAGGCTTAGAAAATACCTTAACTGAAAAGGTGATGAATCCTCTCTCTGCCTTTTGAAACAACAAATAAAAGAAATAGGAACTTGTTTGGGTTTTTTTTCTCCCTTAATTCTTCAAGAGTAGGAGAAATTTCAGTTGGTAGCATCAAAATCCATGAGTCCTACTTAGCAGCCATCAGAACTAGGAGGCTTAGGAAGGCCTGTGCTATGTCTTAGTGGGAATATAACCTGGAGTAAGTACACTAAGTTTATTCTTTTAAATAAGGAATATAAGTCAGAATGTCCATTGTTTGACTCTGTTGAATTCAGTAGATTGCAAAGTGGTCCAAACAGAGTAAGAAGTCTTTACCTTAAGTCTTTTTCAAACAGCTTAATTTTATGTAGGGATATTTTAGTAACACTCTTAAAACTGTGCACTTTTCAAGATTCTTGGAAAACTCAGTTTGAAATAAAACTATTCCATTGGCATATGGTAGAAGGAAAGACATGTTATTCCACTGTAAGATGGGAGTGATGGCAATGTTTGACCTATTTTTTATCTAGGATTTGTGGCCTCTAGTTAGATACTGAAGCTCTTCAGAAAGTTCAATAAATAAGTATTGGAAGTCTTTTTAAAGGACTATTCTGATTAATTTGCCCAAATAATTTCATTACCTTTCCAGGACAGAGAAAACATTTTTTATGTTTTATAGTATTTAGTCAGTAGAATATACTTTATGCCATCCAGCTATGCAACATAAATAAGACTCAACAAAAGAATTTGAATCAGATTACAAACTGTAAAAACCTATAGTCATGGTAATTTTTGGTGATCATTATATAGTGTGCATATTACACACACCCGTATATGTATGCGATAGTAATATCTGTCACCAAACAGGGGATTTCCACCTTCCTTTCTTACTGCAACAATACAATCAGCAGGTAAGCACGTAGAATGTAACAACAAAATTAAATAAGAACTGTGCAAGAGAAAACATATATATGTGCAAGAGTTTTCATGGTGTCAGAATAAAGCATGTTTTTTTTCTGTAGAAAGCACATCGAAGAAATAACATAGTTTCCTCCTAGTGGAGGTCTTTGGGTTTTTTACAGATACAGAAGGTAGAAAAACAAGGTAATTGGGTTGTATGCTCTAAACCACATTTAAATCTCTTGTGAATGTTATGTGTTAAAATCAGCATTTTTGACATCTTAATCCAGATGCATGAATTATCTTCCCACAAAGAAAAAGGAGATTAATGAAAAACTGCTCTTTCAGAACCTTTCTGATTTAATACCTGCTTATATTCTGCAGCATATCTTGTTCTCATTAAACTGTATACACATGGTTCTTTTTTTTTCCTTATTTTTTAATATTTTTATTGAAAATCTTACATGTATGACTAAAAGTCAGGGACGATATCTTTCAGTTCCATTACAAAATCTGTCATATATATATATATATATATATATGCCTATATATATATATTTCATACAACTAGAAGCAAATCTACTGAATTATGAAACAATGATTGTCTATTAACATGTAACTCAAATTAAGTGTGTTGCAGATGGCTAAAATTATTTTTCTTTTCTGTTGGAGCTGAAGGCCACTTTCACATAATTAATTGATAATGCTGGGCTGCAAAAATTACAGAGCCTTAATGACAATTTCCCATCCCCCAGCCTCACATCACTCATACATTAGGATTTCAGTACAAGGATCCTTCTCCAGAAAGAAGTACTT